CTATTTTTATTATTTATTTTTTGGATAAATTGGCTTCAAGTTTGTTTAGAAAAGTAAATTTTTATTAAAAGTGCAGTGAACAATAAAATTATATCGTTTTAAAAAAATGTTTTTTTGAAAAAATATACCTTTTAAAAATACTTTATTGGAGAATAATTTAAAAAAATACTTTTTAACACTGTTCTTAATCATAAGATATTTAATTATTTTCTTAAATAATAAAATTCTTGTTTTTTGGAATTCAATTATTTTCATGAGTAATAAAACTCATCGCAGAATTTCAATTATTATTAATATAATTTGCATCAAATTCTTTAAAAAAATATAATAATTCTTAAAGATTTTATTGAAATTTGTCAAAAAAAATTCAATTATATTTCTAGAAACTTTCATAAAATTCTTGGCAAAATTTCAATTATTTTCAAAAATTTTTCTCAATTCAAAGATTTTCAATATCTACTATCTTAATAAAATTTTTCATAAGAATTCAATTATTTAAAAAAAATTTAATAAAATTCTACGCAAACCTTTAATTATTTTCATAAAAATTTAAAAATTTCACAGGAATTCAATTATTTGCAAATTTTTTATAAATTTCTTCTCAATCATTCAATTATTTTCATAAATAATAAAATTTTTACAGAGATTCAACTATTTTCGTAAATTATAAAATTCTTTTTAGGAATTCAATTATTTTCAGAAATAATAAAATTTTTAGCAGAATTTTAATTATTTTTTATAAAATTTTAATTGAATTCCTCGAAAAATGTATTTAAAAATTTTATAAAAATTCGTCAACAGAATTTAATTATATAAAAATTTATTGATAAAATTCTTTATTAGAATTCAATTTTAAGAAACATGCAATTATTCAATAAATTGTTTTTTTTGTATTTAAATAATTGAATTCTAGTAGAATTTTCTAATAAAAAGTAATTTAAAAATGGATTTCAGTTAAAATTTTATATTATTATTAAATATTAAAAGCAGTCGAGCGTCAATTTTTAGAAATAATTGAATTTTTCGAAGGTTTCAAATTAAAATCTTTGAAAATATGAATTTTTCATATTTTTAACTAATAATTCTGTGGAATTAATTTTTTGAAAAAGTTTAATTGCGAATTTTTTTAAAAAAATTTTTAAGTTTTTATTTTCTAATACATATTTAATTGAAGAATTTTGGAATAATTGAAATTTTGTAAAATTGAATTATAAACAAATAGAAAATTCTCAAAGAACTTTTTCAAAAATTATTAAAAATACTGTATTTATAAGAAGATTTTTAGTTAAAAACACAAAAAAAAATTTAATTACGGAAAAGTTACAAATTATTGCAGAAATTCAATTATTTTCAAAAGTAATAATATTCTTCGCAAAAATTAAATTTTGTTCAAAAATAATAAAATTCTTCTTAGGGATTTAATTATTTTAAGAAATAATAAAACTCATCGCATAATTTCAATTATTTTTAATACAATTTTAATCGAATTTCTCGAAAATTGTTAAAAATTTTATTAAAATTCGTCGAAAGAATTAAATTATTTAAAAATTTGTTAATAAAATTCTCTATGTGAATTCAATTTTAAGAAAAAATGCAATAATTCAATTAATTATTTTTTTTGTATTCAAATAAATTGAATTCTTGTATAATTTTCTAATAAAAATTGATTCTGTAAAATTATTAAAATAAAATAATGATTTTATCACTCGGTCATCTTTAATTATTATAAAACATGAAGAAATTATTTATAATTTAATTTACTATTTTTATGCTCTAATTTCTTAATTATTTATTTTAAGTTTATTTTTAGTCTTAGAATTAATTTGTTTAGTAAATAAATTGATATTTAAACTGTCGGTTAAAATAATAGTACCATTAGTGACTTTTATAGCGAAAAAAATAAGTGTCATTAGTATTTTACTTTTAAAAATAGTAGTTTAAATAGTTGTAAGTGGTGAAAAAATGTCAAAAAGGTATAGTCCAAGGTCTGAGATAATTATTCATAAATAAAACAATTTTTGCAAGGACGGAAAATTTTACAAGTTTTAAATTTTTTTTCGAGGTTTTTTTTTAACTTGTAAGTACTGTCCAGTTTAAAAAATAAAAATTATTTACTGCGACGATTTATCTGAAAGACAATTAACTCGCTCCACTTTTCGCTTCGTTGAAGTGAAGAGAGGCACCTTGGCATTTTTTATTATCTCGTCGCGCATTTTATTATTCTTTGTGTGATTTAACATGAGCACTAGTACCTAACATTGTACGTATCGTATATTATGTATACGTTCAATGATATATTAAGTATTAAGAGAAAAAAATAAAAATAAAAAAAGGTTGAAAATTGCCCTCAGTTAAATTATATATAAGATAGAAAAAAAGTTGATATTGTGAATTGTTTGGAAATTTTTATGATTGTTGATTATTAATATGGAAGAGTGGGTTTGTCATCAAAAAATCATTCTTAGCTCATTTATCCCAGTATTGTCTAGAGAACCGGTCACGCCCATCACCGGAAGTACTCTCCTGTATATAACCGTTTCATCTAAAATGTGTGAGCCTCCTTAACTACTTCCCTCCTGTCTCTTTTGTACTCGTAAAACTGGATCCAATCGCTCGATAACACACGTTTTAATATTTTTCAACGTTACCGTTTTTTCTGAGTTCTTTGATAATTTTGAAATTATTAATTAATTTCGAAAATATTTTTCAAATTAAGCAGGTTTCTGTATTAGGGCAGCTGTGCTGTCGATACATTGAAGCCCATGAGCTTATCGAGATTTATTTAAGATATTTAATTTATTTGTGTAGATTGATTTGGGAAAATTGTTAACTTCTTTCGAATTTAAAATTTAATCACCGAATGATAAATTCACTTCCTTCAATAATAATAATTATTGTATTATTATTATTGTATTAATATTATTATTGTTTTATTATTTTTCTTTTCGAATATTTTTAATTTAAAAATTAATGTACTGAAAATCACTGAATTCTTGCAAAGAAGTTTTTTTTTTTTTTGCTTAGGGACTTTTGGTAAATCTGCCTACAGATACCCTGGATTCCGCACTCTAAGGTTATGTGGGGTTGGTATGATAAAACAAAAAGAAGTATAAAAAAAGAAAAATAAATAATTAAATATATAAAATAGTAAATTTAATAAACTGGCGACCTACTGCCAGCCCGACCCACTAAAACCCGTAACCCTTCTTTTGGAGCCCTTTACCCTCCCTCGGAACATAAAACTGTATAAAGACAAATACAAACATAAAGCAAATTAAAAAAAATGTATAAGGACAAATAAATCACATAATGAATTAAAATTGTATAAGGACAAATAAAACACAAAATAAATTAATAAGAAACGAACAAACAAATTAAAAGCTGTTTAAATTACGCTTTTTTGGCGGCCGTCGAGATCTTTCCTCGACATAACCGAGATTATGAAGTTCTCGACTTGCCGCCAATTCTCTTCTGACTGGGTCATCAGCGATACCATGTTTTCCGGTGTAACTTGACTGTTTACACCTTCGAACATGGCCCGCCTCTCCAAGTCCCATTTCTTGCATGAAAAGAGGGTGTGCTCCGCGTTGTCCTCAGGGAACTGGCAATATACACACCTCGTCCTCGCGTAATTTAAATCGACACAGGTACGAGTTAAAACACTTGTGACCTGTTAGCGCCTGAGTCATATAATAGGAAACCTGACCGAGTTTCCTATTTATCCAGGTGTCGAGTGCCAGGATAAGGCGATAAGTCCATCGACCTTTTTCCTCACCATTCCATCTTTCTTGCCATCTTTCTATGAGCCTGTGCCTCGCTTCTTTGCGGATCAGGCCCTTGCTTTGTCTTAATTCCAGCTTGGATTCTATGAGGCTCGATTCTAGGTCTTCTATATTGGCTTCGAAGGTGGTCAGCGGGTCGTTGGGTGAGAAGTAGCAGCTATACATACGTATATTAGCCACCTCTATCCACACAAACCCGCTGCTTGTCTCCAAGAACTTGTCAACCCGCAATTCTGGGTTGCACAGCTTGATGGCGGCTCTCTTCGCCTTATCCTGATACCAAGGTGCGAGGTCGCTTCCTTGATGCTGCTCACTGCAGAACAGGATATCGACCTCATTTTCCCTAGCTGTTTGCATCAGGAGCACCTGTGCATCCTTACTTGTATGCAGGTTGACTTGAAGGAGCTTTAGGGATTTGCCCTTTTAAGTTTCTCCAATTTCTCCTTGTAAACCGGGCAGGAAATTCTTCCAGGGATATGGTTGACTTCTGTTTTTCCCAAATCTGTACACGTTATGCACTTTGGCTTGTCGCTAGTACAACTCTTGGCGAAGTGTCCCGCTTCGCCGCATCTCCGACAGTTTTTTGTTCTGTCGGGGCCCTTGCAAATTCGGGTCACGTGTCCATAGGCTAGGCACTTTTGACATCTTGTTACTTCTAAGTGCGTTCGGATGGATTTGCAAAGAAGTTTATAAAAAAAATTTGAAAAGAATTGAATTCTTTCAAAGGATTTTATATCAAAAAATTTGGAATAATTAAATTTTTTTGAAAAATTTTAGAAAAAATTTTTCAAATTCCTAATTAAATTCTTCTGAAGAATTTCTTTGAATTTTTTTAAAATAATCGTATTTCTTTTTAAATAATTAAATTCTTTTCAATATATATATATATATATATATATATATATTAGGTTTTTAGCATATTTCATAATTTTTGAGAAAATACTTTATTTATGTTCATTGTATCTAGTCACAAAAAATAATATTTTTCTTTTCAAATCTATACATTCGTTCGACCTGTAGTTTTTCTATTGGTCAGCAGTACATCAATTTACTGATTAATAATATTTTTTCTTCCAACGTGTAGTTTTTCTATTGGTTAACAGTACATCTATTCACTGATAAATAATATTTTTTCCCCAAATCTGAATTCGTTACACCTGTACATTTTCTATTGGATAACAGTACATAAAATTTGGAGATATTTAAAATAGTATTTAACATGAACAGTATATAAGTTGGAGAATCGCGGAAAATTTTTAAACGTCATTTTAAAGACTTCTGTTGCGTGGCATTAAGTTTGAAATAAAAGAGAAATAGAGAACTTCGTCTGATTATTCCTGTGTATTAAATATACGAATAAGTTTGACACCAAAGCGGTAAGAATTTACAATTTTTAAGATCAAATTAATATTTTTTCGAAATACTTTATTAGTAATATTTATATATTGTAAATTAGTATTTACTTGATTATTATCCTCTCTGTGACAAATTTTCATGTTCAATTAACAATTTTAAAGTTCAATTAACAATAATATTTTTAATATTCTTGTGTGATTTTAATGAAAATATAAACTGACAGAAGCAATTGTAAATTTTTCAAAATAATTTCCCTGCGCTTTAAAACTTCAAATGGACGACATATTTTTCTATTTAGATATTTCTTTAAATTACTATATTTAAAAAATAATTATAATTAAACTTTTACTTAGTTAAAAATTAATTTTTTGAATGTACAAAAATATTTCTTTGGAAAAAAAATATAAATTTAAAATATAATATAATATTTATATTCTAAGCAATGTACTGATAAAAGTCTGATATTATTTTTATGATTGGATAACTTTCTGAAATTTTTTATCGTTTTTTACTAAAATTTTTTTAAACACTGAAAATAAAATTTTTATTACTTTAACATTCTGTCCATAAAATCGCAATTCAGAAACGTAATTTTATAATTGCGCTAAGCAAAATTACTAAATATTATAAAAAATGAAACATAAGTGACTGAACTTAAAAACAGTGAATTACATATCTCTAAAAATAAAATATTTTCTCATAGAGTTAGAATTGAGTGATTTTACTAAACTGATAATAAAATTTTAGTAGATTTTTTAAATACATGTTTGTGACAAATTTAACGTCGATGGATTATAATTAAAGTTTTGCCGTTTTTTTTATCTAATATTATTTACTCTACAATTCTTAACTTGCAGGCCTCGGATATTATAACATTTTCAACTTTTTTTCGACTTATTTTAAAAAATTACGACTTTTTCGACTTTTCTTCCGAATATTGCAATAATTTTTAGTATAAAATGCAACTTATTTTCGAAATTTACAATTGAAAAGAGTTTTAATAAATATTGAAATTTTGTAAAATTTAATTGAAAATAATTGAAATTAAATTCCTCGGAAGAATTGAATTTTTAAAAAAAAATTTAATATATTACGAATAAATTCAATTATTTTCTAAAATCTCAATAAATCCTTCGAAACAATTCAATTATTTTTATAAATGGCAAAATTATTCGCAAGAATTCAATTATTTTTATAAATAGTAAAATTCTTTGCAGGAATTCAATTATTTTCAAAACATATATTTAATTGAATTTCTCGTAAGAATTCAAATATTTTCAAATATTTCCATAAAATTCAATTATTTCCTAAAATTTTTAATAATTTCTTCGAAACAATTCAACCAGTTTTATAAATACTAAATAAATTTTCAAAATTTACAATAAAAAAAAGTTTCAATAATTGAAATTTTGTAAAATGAAATTGAAAATAATTGATTTTTTTCAAAGTGCTTGATAAAAATTTTTTAAAATAAACTTTAAAAGAATTTTAATTGAAAATTTTGAAAATAATTCATTTCTCAAAAATTTTAAAGAAAATACTATATTCCAGTGTAAATTTAATGAAAGTTAGCTTCAAAAAATCATATTAAAATATATTTGAAAAAAATAATTATTTGCATTCTAATTTTTTAAAATTCAATTATTTTCAATATTTTCAAATACAAATTTCCAAAAATTCAAATACATACAAAAAATAATAACATTAAAATTTTTTACAATTATTTTTAACATTTTAACAACATATGACTTTTTTTGATTTATTAAAATTTTGGAGAAATCGCGTCTATATTAATAATTAAAATTCTTTAAAAATTCAATTATTTTTTTAATAGAATTAACCAAATTTTAATTGTTTGGAAATTTTTCAATTCTATGTAATTGAAAAACTATTATCTTTTATAAATTATTTTAAAAATATTGTTGAAAAATTAATTTTAAGAATTTCTTTATTATTATTTTTTGAAAATTAATTAATAACTTGAAAAACATGGGACAGTTCGATACCTCCATGTATTACAATCCTATCTTACGGTGAAGGTTAATACAGTCCTATCTTGCGGTAACGTTTTATACAGTTCTATCTTGAAGTGACGGTTTATACCATTCTATCTCAAAATTTTCAATTTTTCAGTTTTTTGCTAAAATTATAGAAGAAAATATTCTGTATTAGATGGTAACACCTAAAATAGTTATATTAATTAGGATATTTATAAAAAACAGTAATTAGAAATAATAACAAGTTTTATCTTCCAAGTAAAAGTGTTCTATCTTTCTTTTGTTTTTGTATCTGTCAAAAAAAATATACACATGTGATTCGTATAATCGTGTTAGAAAAGCAAAAAAGAACAAAAGGTAGAAAATGGATATCCCTTTGGATTTAAGTATGCCACCAGGAAAAAATTCTTTACTGAATAATAATAAAAATATATAAATTTATAAAGTGATTATTTTATCTGTTAATTTTGCTTTATTTTAACTTTTCTTACACCAGGAGAGACTTGTTCTGACGTAGAAATTGAGATCATTCGAATTCAGACTCGGATTGACTATTTTGACTAATATTACAGATACTTTTATTATTATAATTATATTGTAATTTATAATCTTGTTATCGTTTGTGAAATATATAATAAAATACTAGTATAATATAATCCTTGAAACATACTTATAAATTCTATATTGGAGTGACGTTTTCAACGTTTATTACAGTAAAATAATGTAGATTTTTAAATTATTTTATTATTATTCTATTTGTATTCTCACTTGTGTAAAAATTTTCTACAATCAAAACCTCGTTTACTTACTTATTTAAATATTTGTATCTATACTTAAAACTCATAAAAATGATACGTTTATTTTAACTAATAATAATTGATAATTAAAATTAAACAAGAAAACTAACAACATTATTTTTATCATTCCACTATCCCGTGAAATATTAACCTGTCATAAAATTAGGTTAATTAACCTTTGTAGAAGTATTAAGAATGCATTTTCTTGGCTTGATTTTATATAATTGTGTTTTATTTATGTATATTATGATAGAAAAATCTTTAAAGAATTACATAAAAATTATCTTATGAATATCAAACTGTCATTAATATTTTTAATATGGAATTTACTTTTAATTTGGCTCTTACGCAAAATTGGAAAATTTGAGATAGAATGGTATAAAGCGTTACTTCAAGATAGAACTGTATAGAACGTTACCGCAAGATAGGACTGTATTAACCTTCACCATAAGATAGGATTGTAATACATGGAGGTATCGAGTTAGAATCATTATAAAGAATTGAAGTTTTGTATTTATTTGACAAAAATTAAGATCCTGAAAACATTCTAAGTTGTATTTAAATAATTGAATTCTCTAAGAACTTTTGGAAAATTATTAAAAATAATTGATTTCGAGAAGAAGTTTGATTAAAAATTGTAGAAAATAATTGAGTTTTAAGAGAATTAAAATTGTAATTTTTAGAAGTTATTAAATTTCAGAAGGTTTTAAATAGAAATTTTTTAAATTTTATTCCCGTATAAAAACAAACAAGAAGTATTTAAATATTTGTGACGCGCTCCCAATAAAGGTACCTAAGAAGCAAACGAATTCTAGGTTAGGTTCGTATTACATTTATCTTGATTAAAAGTTTATTTTTAATTATTTGAATTTGAAACAAATTTTCATTGGATATTTTGGATATAATGAAGACTTGAAGATCAATAATTTTTAATTAATAATTGATTTTCTTTCTGTATTTTCACTCAAAAAATTAAAAACCTAACCTTAAATTTTTTGCTTCTTAGGTACCTTTCTCCGGAGCGCGACACATTTATTTAACGAAATTATTCAAGTTTTAAATAATTAAATTTATAAATCAGTGAAAGATCAGAAGAATAAAAAAAAAAATTTTTGTAACGACACTGAATGAAATGAACGACTTTTTCGACTTTTTTTTGCACCTTAAAGCCGATCCGAGGCCTGAACTTGCAATTTGTAATTTCGTTCTTCTTAGGATGGCTAAGATTTTAAGTTAGACTAATGCCTTAGAGATTGCCAAGTTTCATTGCAATCACTTTAGTTAATAATATACATATTATTTTCAGCCATTTAAATATCAATTGAAAAAAGTTACAAGACATTGTTTATCAATCATGATAAGACTGGCAATAATCTGCTTTCTAATTTCCATGATAGAAAGCGAAAGGTGTACCTTTAGTATTGCTCAGTTAAATAAATTGAGACAACTTTTCAATGATTCGGATCGTCGTATGGAAGAAGCAACTCGAGGTCAAAGTGAAAATGCGGCAATTGTCATAGGCAATGGAAGAGGGGGCAAAAGTACACTAATTAATTACTTAATGGGAAATGAATTGGTAGCTTATAGATCTCACACATTTGACCCCATTAAAATAAGAAAAGCTAATGAAAATAGTCCAGGACCAGAAATTGGTGCTGGATCACTGTCAACGACTACAATTCCCTTAAAATGGAAGTCAACAAGGACAGAATTAAAGAATTTGGACATCTGGGATACCGCTGGATTTTCGGATAATAGAGGTGTAGAGCAAGATTTAAACAATTCCTTTCATCTGTATCATTTGGCAAAAAAAGTCGAATCTGTAAAATTTATTTTAGTTATCGACTTTGATGACATTAGAACTACAAGTGTTCAACAGATTTTACAGCTTTTAAAAGCTTTAGAAGAATATTTTATTGACAACTTTAAAGACATTTTTCGAAGTATATCAGTAATTATCGCAAAAGCACCTAAATATATTAATGATGATATTCCAGCCAATTGTGAATACCTAAATTATAAATTAACTAATAGTTTATTATCACAACCCGAAATGGATATATCCGAAGATTCAAAAAATTTTTTACGGCATGTGATAGCTAATAACCAACGCGTAGCCTTCTTCAGGAAAGCGAAAAAATTAGGGCCTCTTACTTCTGATATCGATGATAATATTATTCCAGCTATTAATAACTGCACGAGCATAAGCAAGTCATCTAACCAGAATATAGGTTTTACAATGTCAAGTAACTCAAAAAATTGCCTACAATATGCCAATCAAGACTTGCTGAACATGAATGAATTTGAAATATTAGAGAAACAAGTGGAGAACTGGTTCACTAAAAACTATAATGCTTGGAATGAACTCAAAGATAAAAATATATTAAATGCAAATAAAGAAAATTTAAGAAATATCTACGCTCGTATTGATATTTCTTCATTGTATAATTCTGATGTAAAGGATATGATCCAAATTCTGAAAATAAATTATGATACTATTAAAATCGAAATTACGGAAGAATTAATGAATAAAATTGACCTAAGTGAATTTATTGATAGTTTAATTACGACTGGAAAAATGGTAAGAATCCATATTACATTAGATGGTACTATTAGAGCACTGTATCACAGAATATTACAATTAATTTTTTTATGTGAACTGAAGATTAACGAAATAGATAAAGCAGGATATGACGAAAAAATAAGACTAGATAATAAGAAGCATGAAGAAGAATCTAGATATTTGCAGCATGCAATACGCCAGCTGGAGAAAATCCCAGAAGAACAAAGCTATTGGGACCAATTTTTACAATTTCTACTATCTCATCCTGTAAGCGAACATTCTACAATTATGCACTGAGAAAAATAAAAGGTTAAATATAACCAAGTTTTAGTTAAAAACAACCGAGCGATGCTGCTAATATAGCACTTGCAATGTGAATTGTTTGCAGTAACCGATCGAATACGATTAAAAATTTCGGTAGAAACTAGTTAAGACTACTCGGTTACGGTAGCTTCTTTCTCTGTTACTGTAACTAACAGTTTATGATTAATGATCGGTAAACGTTAGTTAACTTACTCGGTTACTGTAGCCACCTAAAAAGGCTACAGTAATAATATAAACTTGAATATTGTAGTCAATTAGCTCTGTTATAATAAAGAAACCGATTAATTAATTTTAAACCACCCAACTCGATTAAAATATTTTTTGATCAATAAAATATTCCCTTGATAAAAATTATTTTCTTTTATTGAAAAGAAATCTATTTGATTAAAAAATTATGTTCTAATTTAAAGATAACCAAAATTTTCTGTAAATTAAAATTCTTTTTTATAATCAAACAAATCTCTTTCAAATAGAATAAAATACTTTTAACCTCTTTAACGTGCATCGTGTAATATGTCATCGGGGATGTAAGGTTTAATGCGTTTAATATTCTCCATTTCATTTTTATTTTTATGTATCTATTGTAGATGAATTCTATATTTGATGGCTGCTGTAACATAATCAATAAAAATTTGTATAGCGTCGGTAGAAACCAGAATTGTAACAACACGACTCTCCGGAAAAGACGAAACGAAGTGACTGACTGACTGTGACTGACGATATGTCGCCTAGATATGTTTACTCGGTTAAAATCTCACAACTGAACGTAATTACATGAAACTCGGTTAATATTAATCGCATAGTAATTGTTTATATTCAAAAAACAGATAGGTAACAACAACCACGAAAGTTTGTTTCCATTATGCACATTTCAGATTGGTTAAGACAATCCTTTGGAGGATTATTTTTAACAGATGTGTTTTAACCATCTCAGCTCGGTTGTGATAATCAGTATATTAATTCTTATCAGAATTTTATTACAATTTTTTAAAAATAATTTAATTCGTTTAAGGAATTTTAATAAACTATTGAAAATAATTTAATTCTTTCGAAGTATAGATACAATTAAAGGCTTAGACAATAATAATTGAATTCTTTCAAAAGCATTTTTTAATTTATTGAATATAATCGATTTTGTTAATAACTGTAGTTTTTCTATTAAAATTTTATTAAAATTATTGATGGAAATTTAAACTCTTTTAAATAATTTTATTAAAGTTTTTCTAAATACTTAAATTCGTGTGAAGAATTTCTTTAAGTTTTTTTTAAATAATGTATTTTTTTGAATAATTTTAATTAAAATTTTTGAAAATAAATAACTAAACAAAGAATTAAAAAAAATTTTTTTTAAATAATCGTGTCTGTTAATAATGATAATTAAATATTTGTTTTTCGATTTTTGAAGTTTATAATTCAATTCAAAAAAATTGAATTTTTGAAATTTTGATTATGAAATTATTCAAAAATTTATATTCCACAAGTAAAAAATTTTGTAATTTGCATAATAATAATAATAATAAATTAAACATCACGTCTCGCGTATTTAATAATAATAGTAATAATAATTACAGTAATGCTAATATAAAAAAAAAATTTTGAAATTCAATTATTTTCAATATTTATTATTTTAATAAAAAATTTCTCAAAAGAATTCAATTAATTTAAAAAAAATTTTTATAAAATTCTTTACAAAAATTAAATTATTATCATAAATCATAAAATTTTTTACAGGAATTCAATTATTGAAAAAGATTTTTATAAAATTCTTCGCAAGAGTTCAATTAATTAAAAAAAAATTTAATAAACTACTTCATAAAAATTCAATTTTTTTAAAAAATAATAAAATTCTTCTCGGGAATACAATTATTTAAAAAAATTAAAAGAAAATTCGTTGCAAGAATTCAATTATTTTTATAAATAATCAAATTTTATTCTTTTCAAAAATTCAATTATTTTTATAAATAGTAAAATTTTATTCTTCACAAAAATTCAATTATTTTTAAAAATTGTAATAAAATTCGTTGCAAGATTTCAATTATTTTCAATACAATTTCAAATAAATCCCTCAAAAAATGGAATTATTCTTAAAAATTTTATTAAAATTCTTCTAAAGAATTCAATTATTTAAAAAAATTTTGATATAATTCGTTTATTAGAATTTCATGATTATTTTCAATGTTTTTAATAAAATTCTTCCTAACAATTCAATTACTTTCAAAAAATTTTAATCAAATTCTTTGCAGAAATTTAATTAATTTCAAAATTTTTTCGAAAATCAATTATTTTCAATATCTGCTATTTCAGTAAAATTTCACAAAAGAATTCAATTATTAAAAAAAAATTTTAATAAAATTCGTCGTAAGAATTCAATTATTTTTAGAAGTTATAAAATTCTTTGGAAAAATTAAATTACTTTCAATACAATTTAAATAAATTTTCTTGATGGAATTCAATTATTTAGTTAATTTTAAACATTCTGAAAAACTCTTTAGAAGAATTAAATTATTTTCAATAGAATTTTAATTAAATTCCTCGTACAAAGTTAAATTTTCTTCGAAACAATTGAATTTAATTAATTTAATTTGAATTCAATTATTTTAAAGACTAATTTAAATAAATTCTAAAAAATGCAATTATTCTTGAAATTTTTTTAAAATTCTTCGAAAGAATTGAATTTTATTTTAAAAAATTTTTGATAAAGTTCGTTATAAGAATTGAATTTTAAGAAATATTCAATTTTTCAAGAATCTAATTATTTAAAAAAAAAATAATATACTGTTTCGCGAGAATTCAAATATTTCAAAAAATGTTAATAAAATTCGTTGAAAGAATTTAATTATTATTTAAAATAATAAAATTCATCGCAGGATTTCAAGCATTCTTAATAACATTTTTGAAAAAGTTCTTTATAAGAATTCAGTTTTAAGAAATATCGAATTATTCAATAAATTATATATTTTTGTATTTAAATAATTGAATTCTTGTAGAAGTTTCTAATTAGAAGAATTGATTAAAAATTGAATTTAAGTTAAAATTTTAGAGAATAATTGAATATTTGAAGCGTTATGGTGGAAATTATTTTTAGAAATAATTAACTTTTAAAAATTTTTTAAATTAAAATCTTTGAAAATTTTAATTCTTGTAAAATAATATGTTTAAAATTTTATTTTAAAATAAAATTATTAAAGTTTTGAATATTTTTATTTAAAAAATTTCACACCAATAAAAAATTTTTTTTTTGAAGAATTACAGTTGTAATTTTTAGGGATAGTTAAATTTCAAGAATGCTTTACATTGAAATCATTTTAAATATTTTAATTACTTTGGAAAAATAAATAGGTATTTAAATTTTTATTAAAAAAAAATTCTATTTTTAAATATGTGAAAAAAAATTTTTTAATTTAGAAATTATGAAAAAGTTGAGACATCAAATTTAATTTTTCAAATTCTACATTTTTAGTACTTTTTTCAGTCTTAAAGCTACTTTTTGATACAATTTTTAAAATTAATTATCATGTACTAAGCCTGAATTATTCACAGTAAATTTATACATACTGTAATATTATTAATTAATTGATTAATTAATTTAAAAAATAGAATTATATTAATTTTTCCAAAAATCTACTTCGGAAAAAGTAAAATAATTGACTCTTCCGGAAATAGGAAAAATTGCCACAGCATAGAATGCAGAAATTCCTGACAGTACTTAGGTTTTACAATTAAAGTAGTAAAAGTTACTATTATTTTCACCATTTTTTTCGACTATATACAAAGAATTGAAATACACAACAAGTGATTTATAATTGTTACAATTTCCGGTGATTCTTTTTCGATTTTTTCTCTTTTTTCTTTGGGTTTTTTTCAAAAGGGGAAATTATTTTATCCCGAAGGGTTTGGATCAGATAAAAAAAAGCAGGCGTTTCTTAAATCTTAAATACCGTTTATTTCTTGAGTACACAACTTCCTGAGCGAGACTATACAGTCGCTGTTATCATAAGCGGGAAACTTCATCCTCCCGGCTTAAGAGAGGCAACTCCTCGTAATTCAGATCGACTGACAGTCTATCGGAAACTGCGATACGATTTACAATATTTTTATACTCGCGAGTGTTTCATATTTTGCCCTCGAAACAGATATTGCCTTTTTTTTCCTCTTCTTTATATTTGTATAAAAAATACAATCACTTGATTTATATTTTTCTCTACATATATTGAAAATTATTGATAACTATTCGATATATTGAAGCTGTGTTCATATTAAGTGTATAGTCTGCTTGGCGCCGGATGTGATAAAAAGCATTCGTCATATATATCTGCAGTTTACACACATTACAGTTTCTTTCGTGCAGTGAGAAAAAGTGTTTTACAAATTTATTTATTTCTTATTCGATTTATTGTGTTTGGTGCTTGAAAATATCGAATATTCTTTGTTTTATTTTTATTTTCTTCTGTTTATTTTATTTACTTTTCTTTAGTTATTATTTAAACAGTTGAAGTGTTTTATTAATTTTATTCTGTATTTTTATTTTTTATTCTTATTAACTTATTTTCTATTTTTAATTAAAAATATTTTTTATAATATTAATTTGAATTTATCACTCAGTGGCATTAAATCAAAAATATTTTTAATGTTTTAGGAATTAAAAATACTTTTACTCTCTTAGCAATTATTTTTTAATAGGGTTGCCACAGGTCAGGGAAAAGTCAGGGATTTTTATTAAAAGTATTGTAAAAAATTTAATTTCTAGAACTCATAAGAAAACTGACATTTTTGTGTCTTTTTTCTTTTTTGTTTCACTCATAAACTATTAAAATACCACGAATTCTAATATAAAACCTTCAAAATTTTTTTCTAATTCTGACTAGAATGAATTTTTTAATATTATTTAATTATTTCAAAAGTTTTAATGCAATTATCTTGATAAATAACAAAATTCTTTACAAAAATTCAATTATTTTTAGGAATTTAAAAAAAATTCTTAACAAAATTCGATTATTTTAATAAATAACAATATTGATCACAAGAATTCAATTATTTTCAAAAGTAATAAAATTCTTCAAAGAAATTCAATTATTTTTAAAAATTTGAACGAATATATCTCGTCAAGAATTCAATTATCTTTATAAATAGCAAAATTTTTTACCAAAAATTCAATTATTTTCAAAAAATTTAAATAAAATTCTTTGCAAAATTTCAATTATTTTCAAAAGTTGTTCGTAATTCAATGATTTTTATTATTTACTATTTTTATAAAATTTATCAAATAATTTAATTATTAAAAAAAATTTTTTGATACAATTCTACGTAAACATTTAATTATTTTTATAAATAATAAAATTTCATTTAGGAATTTAATTATTTTCACGACAGAATTTTAAATATTTTTAATACAATTTTAAATAAATTTAAGATTTAAATAAATTTCAATTTAAGAAACATTCCATTATTCAACAAAATAATAAATATCGTGGCAATAATTCAATAATTTTCATAAATAACTTTTCATTCGTCATAGGAAATTAATTATTTTCAAAAAATTTTTCAGTAATTTTGTAAAATAATTTAATTATCTTGATAAACAACAATGTTTTCCACATAAAATCAATTATTTTAAGAAATTTTAATAAAATGCTTTTCAAAAATTCAATTATTTCGATAAATATCAAAATTCGTCGTAAGAATTCAATTCTTTTGAAAACTATCAAAATTCTTTACAAAAATTCAATTATTTTTAGAAATTTAAAAAAAATTCTTTACAAAATTCAATTATTTCTATAAATAACAACTTTTATCACAAGAATTCAATTATTTTCAAAAGTAATAAAATTCTTCGAAGAAATTCAATTATTTTTAAAAATTTAAACGAATATCTCGTCAAGAATTCAATTATCTTTATAAATAGCAAAATTTTTCGACAAAAATTCAATTATTTTCAAAAATTTAAGTGAAATTCTTTGCAAAATTTCAATGATTTTCAAAATTTTTTCGCTATTCAATGATTTTCATTATTTACTATTTTCATAAAATTTATCAAAGAATTTAATTATTAAAAAAAATTTTTGATACATTTCTAAGTAAACATTCAATTATTTTCATAAATGACAAAATTTTATTTATGAATTCAATTATTTTCATCGCAGAATTTCCAAT